GGGCCTGGGGAGCACAGAGGAGTTTGAGGAGGGGGTGAGCTCATCCACTCTGTCTTTGGGACACAGGAGTGAACTTTGCAGTCAAATTCATATGGTGCCTATGGGCAAGGTAGGTCCATTTAGAGCCCCAGCTACAGGCCAGGCTGTGAGCCAGGTGACTGAAATGTATACCTGTCCTGTTTAACCCTGACAACAACTCTCCAAGATGGGAACGGTCATTCAGCTGTTCACAGGAGGAAACTGAGGTTCAGAGGCGGGAAGCACCATGTCGGAGGTCACACAGTCAGAAGGTGGTGACCACACCCACATCCCGGTGGGTGTGCCTGACTTCAGAGCTGTGCTCTCCCACCAACACCCTGACTGCTCAGCACCCAGCCCTGTGCTGGGAGCCAGGACTTGCCACCAGAGCCGGGTCCGGGTCTGAGGGCGCCGTCCAAGGTGTTTCCTGCTGTCCTCTGGGGATGGGTGGGGGGGTGGAGGAGAGTGTGATGGAGACAAAGGGGAGGAAGTACCTCCCCATCTGTCCTGTCACTGGACATCCTCCAAGAATGGGCACCAGGCTCCCCACTGCCCGGGTGGGAATAAACTCTTGAACTCTCTGCAGAGATAAAAAGAGCTATCTCCTCCCAGCCCTGAGTGTCGGCAGATGGGGCCTCTCCGGCCAACCTCCACAGGCAGCTGTGAGGCAAAGCTGTCTGGGGCGGTGGGAGGGGCGGGCCCCTCGGTTTTGCCCTCCTCTAGGAATGCCCCATCCCTGGCTTTCTAATAGTCCATTCTGCACAGCCCCTCTCACGCGGAGTGTGTGCAAGACCTGAGGCAGGTACAAGTTCACATCCCAGTTCTGCCTCTTTCTCTTTTTAGAGCCTCAGCTTCTTCATCTGTAGAATGGGCATGATTACTCCTCCTAGGGGTCAGGTGAAGTTGGTTCCTGGTGCACAGCAAGCCCTTGGCAAATGAACAATGATTTCAATGTCGTGATAAAACGGAGCCAGATCGCCTGGGTTCGACATGATTACTCCTCCTAGGGGTCAGGTGAAGTTGGTTCTTGGTGCACAGCAAGCCCACCTTGGCAAATGAACAATGATTTCAATGTCGCTATAAAACAGAGCCAGATCGCCTGGGTTCAGATGCCAGCTCCTCCTTCTCCAGCTGCACGACTTTGGGAAAGTTGACTTCTACTCCGTGTCTTGGTTTCCTCTTCGGTAGAAGGAGGGTAGTGACACTGGTTCATTCAGAAAAAGCACCGAGGACAGTGGCTGGACAGTGGCAGGTGCTGTGCAAGAATCAGTTGTTTATTGTTAGTGTTGCTCTCGAATCCACCCTCTGATCACCCATCTGGGTATCCCAGCCTTCTCCCCTGGTCCCTCCTGCTCCCAGAAGCCCCGTGTCTAACTCTCTTCTTTGCCCCTGGGTGGACCTTTCATACCCACATCCTCTCTCACATCTTGGGGGCAGGGGTGCTCTGTGGGTCCCTTCCCAGCATGTGTGGAGGGATTTGAGGCTGATGGGCACACAGCCTTTCTGGCCCAGCTTAGCGTGAGTAGGCAACACCCCTCTGCCTCCCACATCATCTGCCCAGTGCTGGAGAACAGAACATCCTTTTCCTGGCCCTACAGACAACATGCCACTGTGGTGATTCATGGATTCAGGATCCCAGAAAATCAGGGTAGAAAAGGGCCTCTGAGGGCATCCCTTTGATCTACGTCCCTTGCTCCCCACCCCCAACAGAAAGCACTAGACTTTCAATAGAAGTCTCAGGGCAACAAGACTGATCTAATTTATCCTGCTGTTCAGAACGACGCCCAAGGACCCCTGGGTCTGGGTCTCCCCAGGCCTGGGGATGAGCCTGCGTGTCGCTTCACCCTCACAGCTGGGCCGACTGGCTCTGAGCCTTTGCTATTTGAGGGATGTTTTGATAACCTCTTTCTGTGCCTCCCTCTCCTGCAAAGCCCCACCTGATCACCCTGCACTCTAGGCCGCCTCTTATCTCCTCGCCCTAAGCTCCCCATCCATTACTGCACACGAGTTTTATCTGAGCCTCCATGAATGAGATTGATTTCTATGAATAATTGGAATACCTGGCTGGTGACCCAGTGTTGCTGCCACCAGGGTGGTTGGGGCTGCAAAGCTCACATCCAGCTCTATTTCCATTCCGTGACTGCTGTCTGGCTCAGGACACCCTAACCTTTGTTTCGGTGCAGGCTGACTGCTCCGCTCCCCCTAAACCCCACCATCCACCCACTCTATCTTCTCTCAAGCAGCTGGATTAATCTGTAAAAGCTCGAACCTTCTGAGAGCACCCTGCCCTTGGCTTGTCATTCAGGGTCTTCCTGACCCTATCCCCATTTAACTGTTTAACCTCATAGGCAAAGCTTCACCCTTGCATTCCCTGAACTCAATCAAAGTCTTTTGCCCAAGCCCCACCCTCTGTGGGTGTTCATGCTTCAGTCAGTTAACTACTGTCGAGTACCTACCTTGTCCAGGCCTTCCATAGGGCACTAAGAATGCAGACAGGGCTAGTGGGAAAGGCAGCTTCATAGCCAGTCATCTGTAATGGGGTGGAATAGGTGTTCTAGAGAAGCACAGGGTTGAGGGGTTGGAGGAATAGAGCTGTGAGAGCCCAGAAGATCCTAACGCAGCCTGGGGTTAGTAGGGAAGGCTTCCTGGAGGAGGGGGCATAGAGTAGGGTCCTGACAGATTAGAAAGCTGACCAGATAGGCAATGGAAACTTCACCTGTTGAATACTGACCTCTTGAACCAGCCCAATTCAAATGCTGCTTTCTGCAAGAACTCTTCCTTAATTGGCAAGCCCTCCCTGCCCTCCCTGAAGGGCTGGCACCATGGGCATGCCGCCTGGGCAGTCACACAGGGTCCCACACTTTGAAGAGTCCCACAGCTGGTTTAATCCTCTGCTATTACTGTCTTGAAATTATTAGTCATTTCAATAATTTTCATTTTTCACTAGGCCCCTTTGACTTATGTGCCTGGTCCTGCCTCCCTCAGCTCTTGTCCCTTCCAACCTTGTGTTATGTTTTTCCCTGAAGGGCACCTGCAGTTCTGGGGGCTGTGGGCTGGGGGCGGGGGGGATCTGACTCATTTCTGTCTTCAGGGACCAGCCCAGAGGAAGGTCCCCAAGAGGCCTCTGTGACTATTTTGGTGAATGCGATGAAACCCTGCCGGGACACAGCCCTTCCATCAAAGCCAGGATATCATCCCATGGGAAGGGTGTGGTCCAGCCTGCACATACTCCAGGAATTCAGAGAGCGGAGGGATGGCTGAGGCCAGAGGCATCAAAGTGCTCCCCAGAGGACCCTCCACCACTGCTCTTCTGTCAAATGTCTCTTCTTGGCTGAAAGCCCTTCCCGACCTCTAGTCTCACTTCTTGCCACAAAGTTCCCCTCCCCCACCCTTGTAGACCTCTCCCCAGGCCTCTGGGCTTAGCAGAAAGAGGCTGGGAGGTAGGATGACAGCATCTTAATTTCCCTGCTAATTACAAGTGCTGGGAAGAGGGGTGCTAAATGCCAGATAATTACCCAGGAGGAGACACGCGCCAGACTCCTGGCTGCTCCCAGCCCCAGGAATTTTACTTTAATGGTTTTCTTTTCTTCTTCCTTAAAAAAGAAAGAGAGAGAGGGAAAGAGTTAAAGCCTGGCTTTCTCTCTCCTTAGCTTTAGGAGGTAAAGAAAGCAGTGGCTTTCTTAAAGCCCTCTCCTTATCAGGGACTTAGATTCAGACCCTCCGCATTGGGTCTGGGGAGAAGGTCTAGGGATCAGCGACCTACCCTGTTTGTACTTGACTTAGGCTGAGGATGTGGAACAGGGTGGGCGGGAGGAGGAGCCCCAGCCCTCCCCTCCCTGTGCACCACCAGAGACTTGTGCACGCGCACACCCACACACACCCACACACACCACAGCACCAGCACCAGCACCAGCACCACCACGACCACGGCTCCACTTTGGAGAACAGGAAACCTGAGCTGCTGCCTTGTTCAGGGTTGAGGCATGAAGAGACAGGGAGGGGTTCCCTGTGGTCCTTCCGCCCTCCATGGGCTCTACTACTCATCCCCAGAGCAGGTGGGGGGGGTGGGGGACAGTGTCACCCAGTTGTTTGGCCTCACTCCCATGCCCTGATGCCTGCCAGCTTCAGGCGCAGCTTGAAAGGTTCCCAACAGGAAGCTATTAAGTTGATGAGCATTCTTGTGGTCCTGGATTGATACAGCGACGCTCTGTTTCTTAATGCTGTTGTAATTTCTATAATAACATTTTCCTCTTCTTAAGTAAACTTGGACCTCAGCCCGTAGAACGTGGCTGGCTTTGCCTGGGGAATTCGGGACCTGAGATCGTGGAGGGAACACTCTCTGGAAAGGTGGGAAGGGGAAGGGAGAGGCTCAGCTCCCCCACCCGAAGGGCTGGGCCTCAGATGGGCTGGTGGAGTTGGGCTGAGCAGGAATCAGGAAGGACCCACAACTCAGCTCTGGGCTTGGCCAATGCACCTCCATCCTCCTAAATATATACCTCTTGTAACACAGGGAGGCAGCCTGGGACATGGTTAAGAATATGGACCCAAGGTTTCTATGGGACCACTATATATATATACTACTTGTGCAATCTTAGGTAAGTTGCTTAGCCTTTCTGGCCTCAGTTTCTCATCCGAAAAATAGGGATAATAGTAGTACATAACATAATGCATTGTAAATTATGACTGTTGAATAAAATAATATATGTAAAGAGCCTAAAAGAGTAGCTGTTGCAAAGCATGTGCCTAGTATATCTTCAAAAGAAATCCACACAAATGACCATGTCTCACGGGTAATCTTATAATTTTAAATTCTCAGGTTCCAGAGTCAGGGAATTATAAAATTGTACCTTTTTTTGTCATTGAGTTTACGAAATCTTAAATTAAGATTAATAGAATAAAATAAAAACTATCATGTGGAGTCTTAGATTCTCAGGGTCCTAGACTATGAAACAAAATGGCATTCACATCTTACGGTCTTCAAGGTCAACCTGGCACTGGCCATCCAGCATCTGCTCCCACATCTCCATGACTCTGAGTCCACCACCTTGAAAGGGCTGCCTCCTGGGACGTTAATGGTGAGTACAGATTTGCCTTCTTTTTCAGCCCCCATTGGTCTGAGCTCTTCTCTCTGGGCCACCAGAGTGTGTCTGCTTCCTCCTCCCATGAGAGCCCTGAGAACCTGGGAGAGATGTGGATAGCGGGTCTACCCAGTGCCTGCTCTTCCAGCCTATTTCTTTCAGAACAAGGCTTTCCATTGTGTCACCGGTGGGCTGCCTTGGTCTAACCAAACCTACCACCTAATATCCCAGAGTGAACACCAGGTGAACCTGACCATGGCTCAGAGGGACTTCTGTCACCCATCCTTGTCTTTTAACGTGGTCTAGAACCAATGCTCTTTCTGGCAGGTCAGCTTCTCTGGAGCTCAACTACTAGAGCCCATTGCAGTGAATAAGTATGTGCAAATGTGCAGAAGGTAGGGAAGGGAGCTGTGGGGCTGGATCTCAGAAGTTAAGAACACCAAAACTAAAGAGGGAGGAGAAAGGAAGTGAGCCTAGCCAGTGTGGCTCAATGGCTGAGCATCGACCTATGAACCAGGAAGTCACAGTTTGATTCCTGGTTAGGACACATGCCTGGGGTTGCAGGCTCGATCCCCAGTGTAGGGCATGCAGGAGGCAGTCAGTCAATTATTCTCTCATCATTGATGTTTCTCTCTCTCTCTCTCTCTCTCTCTCTCTCTCTCTCTCTCTCTCCCTTCCTCTCTGAAATCAATAAAAGTATTTTAAACAAGAAAGAAAGGAAGGAAGCGAGATGACTGGAGACGGGCCTCACCCTCTCCATGAGTGGCATTTGTTGAAGTGATGGCACTTGCAGCAGGCTGGAAAGGCCCCTGTCTTACATACCTTCCAACCGGTGTAAAGAACATCCATAATTCCCACGATTGTTTCATACTTTCCCCACACCCATTTCCTTTTAGAAGAAGCATGTTCTGCAGGTGGGAGGCCCATTAGCCCCTGATGCTAGTGTGACTGAGAGTTGAAGGTATGTTCCCAAATATCACTGGTTGGGCATCTTGGTGAGAGTTGGGAATGTCGTGTATGACTGTATGGGTATGTCCTACACAAAAGTGCCTGGCCAAAGGGCAAGTTGGGCCAGGACCCAGCCAGTGCTCTGCTCTGCTCACAAGACACACACCCTGGCATGTGCTGCCTGCAACCAGAGGAGGAGGTACCTTTTACTAATGCACACACAAGTGTCCTAAGGTCTAGCAGCAGGCAAGGGGGTGGTGGACTGAGTGATGAAAAAATGAAAAATGTAAGCCCAGGGATATAGAAACTGGGATGGGTGACAGATTTATTTTTCAGTGAGAGGCACAGAACTGACTCATACCCAAGCCTTCTTCTTAAGAAACTCGTTTAATGCAGGAAACACCCAAACAGACCATTGAGAGGCCGTGGAGCCTGGACGAAGGTGGGGATTGGGGCTCCAGCTCTGGGTCCTGGAGGATGAATAGGAGTATATTGAATAGGAGAGGCTGGGAGAGGAGGCCCATGCAACCTGGCGGTGTTGGAGAATGGGATTGTGATTTATAAGAAATATGTATTTGGTGATTACAGTTCCTGGCTCACAGCTTCCCAAACCCTTGACAATGAGCATGTTATAATGTTTTGGTCACTTGTCCTCAGTTCCTGCAATCACTTCAGAGACATAAAGGTGAAATGGAAGCCTTGTTATTCATAACAAGCTCCTCTCCACACAATTGTTGATGTTGATGAGGTGCCTTTTGGAAATGCTCTCAGGATGGGGGATGGTTGACAAGGGAACGCAGCAAGAATGGGGGATCAGTACTATTAGTCCTACTCCCTGATTTCTCCGGAAGAGAGAGGGGCTGGAGATTGTCATCACCAACAGCCAATGATTTAGTCACTCATGCCTATGTCAAGAAGCCTCCATAAAAACCCAAAAGGATGGGGTTTGGAGAGCCTCCAGGTTGGTGAGCATGTGGAGGTGCTGGGAGAGTGACCCACCTGGACAGGGCATTGAAGTTCTACGCCCTTTCCCCACACCTCGCCCTCTGCGTCTCTTCAGCTGGCTGTTGGTTCCTATCCTTCAACATCCTTTGTAATAAACTTGTAATCTAGTGAGTACACAGGTTCCTGAGTTCTGTGAGCTACGTTAGAAAATTAACTGAACCCAAGGAGGGGGCAGTTGGAACCTCTAATTTATAGCCAGTGGGCCAGAAGCACAGGTAACAACTTGGGCTTGGGATTGGCATCTGAAGTTGCGGATAGAAAGCACAATCTAGTGGGGCAGGGCCCTTCACCTGTGGAATCTGGTGCTAGCTCCAGGTAGATAGTATGGAATTGAATTCTAGGGCCTCAGCTGGTATCGGAGAATTGCTTGGTGCTGTGGGACCCCCTCCTTCCATCCCACCCCTACATTGGAATTGGGTGTTAGTCATTTTAGGAATGGTTCTCAGCACCCAGCAAAGGGCTTAGTATGAAGAAGGCCTTTAACACATCATTGGTGAATGAATATGTGATTGAATGAAGGTGCATGGGTGATTGTAGGGGGACTGGAGGGAGGTAGAGTTGGAGGCGGGCAGGGCCTGGATCTGGACGGCCCCCTTGGGCTATATGTGAAGATGCTAGAACATTTCTCTTTCTGGTGATGGGGAGCTATTGAGTGACATTATTAGACTTGTTAGAATCATCCCTCTGGCAATGTTGTGGAGCTGGCTCGGAAGGGTGAGACTGGAGCAGAGTCGTTCTCAGCCACAGGTATTGTCACTGCTCTTCGGGAAGCCCTGACCTTGGGCTGGATGACTGGGACCAGGCAGACTGGGGTTGAGGAAGGCAGAGCTGTGTGGACACTGAGCTGCCCGTGCAGCTGGAAAAGGTAGGGGAGGCAGAGACACACTCAGGTGCCCCTAAAGCCTGGGCCTCGTGCATGTGGGGCTCTTTTTGTTCTGACAAGAGTGTTACTTCTATGGTAAATTGTGCTTCTATGAACATAGGGGTGCATATATCCTTTCTGATTGGTGTTTGTAGTTTCTTGGGATATATTCCTAGAAGTGGGATCACTGGGTCAAATGGGAGTTTCAATTTTAGTTTTTTGAGGAAACTCCATACTGTTCACCACAGTGGCTGCACCAGCAGCAGATGAGTGAATTAAAAAACTGTGGTACATCTACACAATGGAATACTACGCTGCTGTAAACAAGAAAGAATTCTTACCATTTGCAACAGCATGGATGAAACTGGAGAGCATTATGCTAAGCGAAATAAGCCAGTCAGAGAAAGATAAATATCACATGATCTCACTCATTTGTGGAATATAATGAACAACATAAGCTGATGAACAAAAACAGATCCAGAGACAGAGAAGCATCGATCAGGCCGTCAAACCTCAGAGGGAAGGTAGGGGAGGGGGGGGGTAAGAGGGAGAGATTAACCAAAGGACTTGTATGCATGCATATAAGCTTAACCAATGGACATAGACAACAGGGGGGTGAGGGCATAAGTGGGGGACATGGGAGGCAATGAGGGGGTAAGGACACATATGTAATACCTTAATCAATAAAGAAAAAAAATTTAAAAAGAGTGTTATTTCTCCAGACCTGAGCCTACAGGTTAGAATCAGCACCCGGAGGCTCTCTCAGGATGGACAGGCAATAACCTTCCTCTCAATTTCAGAGCTTGGAGTAGAGGGATCACCTGAATGGTCGGCAGCTCTGGACCCCACCACCTGCCTCCTCCCTCAGGACCTTCTATAAAAGCAATGCCATGGCTGCTGGGTTCTGTGCAGAAGGAGCTAGAAGCTCCAATGGGTAAGACTAACAGTGGTAGAAAGCAGGGGTGGGCATGGTTTGCCGAGCGACCATGGCCAGATCACCACCCCATCCTGGAGAACTCACCAAACATCAGTCCAAGGCAGGGGCACACTCACCTCTCTGATGGGGACTTGAGGCCCAGGGCTTTCTAGCCTGCTTAGGAAGAAGAAGGTGGATGAAAGGCATGTTTGGAAAAGGAGAGGATCTGAAGCTCGTAGAGGGCTGTGGGGTGATGTGTCCCATGAGTGAGGATGGGGCATCGAGCATGTGAAGGAGGCAGGGGCTGAGGCCAAGCAGCTATTCTTTCTTCCTTATTTCTTGCAGCCTGGCATCATGACCCTCTGGGATCATCCTGGCCAATGTCTACAGCCATGTCTCTAACTTAGCTCCCCCTCCCCCCACTGCTTCCTAGACTCCAGCTCTTTGCTCTTCTTCAAGCACTTCCCTCCCTCTCTGCCTCTACCTCTGAGCTCATTGCTGATCCCTCCTGTGCACTTTTCTGGTCTACCTTGGAATGCCTGCAGCTCAAGGGCCCTTCTCTTCTTCCTGCATCACCTTCCAGCCTGGAGCCAGGTCCCGCCCTTCTTCTCTTAGGAAACCTTCTGTTTCACCTGAATCCTAACTATTTGTGTATTGTGACTGGCATCAGAAGTCTGGGTTTGAACGCCTGCTCTTAAGAGGGATGTAAATGTGGGCATAGTCCTTCACCCCCCAGTGCCTCATTTCCTGGTTTCTGAAACAAGGACATGCACCTTTGAGACAGGACCTGCATCTGTCCTGGTATGCCTGGGACAGCGGGGTTTATGCTGATTGTCCTTTGGAATTATTACTACCAGTAGTGTCCCCTTACACTCCCAGGGTGCCTTGGTTTGTATGATAAATTATATGTTCACCTCACTCCTGAAGCTCTTATGAAGATTAAATTAGATAATCTCATGATATAATCCATGTAAAGTTCCTCAGCAGAGTGCCTGGCATAGAGTAAGTACTCATTAAACATCCACTTGTTATTCTGTTCCCCACAGACGGAGCTCCTTGAGAAAGGAGACAGGGTGTCTGGTTCAGTTACAATTACCAGATGAGAATGGCCAATTATCCGAGAATTTAGAGTCCAGTGCAGTCCAGTCAATGCTAAAGTTAAGGTGCAGGGTGACTTTGTCTCTTTTTATGACTCAAAAGCCAGTCAGCAATGTTATGACACTGCTTTTTGGC